TTGTGTAATTTGGATGTGTCACTGGATAATGGTTATTTTCTATGAAAGTGGAATGGACATGCCAAGTTCAAGTTTAGACAAAGACAGTTCTATTTACTTTTAAATAAAGAATGCTCATGGAAAATTTCATATTCATCCGTCTCGACCGTCTCACATCTACCTGTCCACCTGTCTCAGCCTTCTCATACCTATTCATATATCTCGTTTACTTCTATCTGACTATGTCCCTTCATATCTATGTGTCTATCACCTTTGGATATCTATCTATCAACTTTGGATATCTGTCTATCACTTTTGGATATCTGTCTATCACTTTTGGATATCTGTCTATCACTTTTGGATATCTGTCTATCACTTTTGGATATCTGTCTATCTGTCTATCACTTTTGGATATCTGTCTATCTGTCTATCACTTTTGGATATCTATCTATCTATCTATCTATCACCTTTGGGATATCTGTCTATCTCTCTATCACCTTTTGGATATCTATCTATCTTTTGGATATCTATCTATCTATCACCTTTTGGATATCTATCTATCTATCACCTTTTGGATATCTATCTATCTATCTATCACCTTTTGGATATCTATCTATCTATCACCTTTTGGATATCTATCTATCTTTTAGATATCTATCTATCTATCCTTTTTGGATATCTATCTCTATCTCTCTATCATCCTTTTGGATATCTGTATCTATCTATCTATCTATCACCTTTTGATATCTATCTATCTATCACCTTTTGATATCTATCTATATCATCTATCATCTTTTGATATCTGTCTCTATCTATCACCTTTGATCTCTATCTATCACCTTTTGGATATCTGTCTATCTATCACCTTTTCATATCTATCATCTTTTCATATCTATCTATCACCTTTGGATATCTGCCTATCTATCTATCACCTTTGGATATCTGTCTATCTATCTATCACCTTTGGATATCTATCTATCACCTTTGGATATCTATCTATCACCTTTGGATATCTATCTATCACCTTTGGATATCTATCTATCACCTTTGGATATCTGTCTATCACCTTTGGATATCTGCCTATCACCTTTGGATATCTGCCTATCACCTTTGGATATCTGCCTATCTATCTATCTATCACCTTTGGATATCTGCCTATCTATCTATCTATCACCTTTGGATATCTGCCTATCTATCTATCTATCACCTTTGGATATCTGCCTATCTATCTATCACCTTTTGATATCTATCACTTTTGGATATCTATCTATCTATCACTTTTGGATATCTATCTATCTATCACTTTTGGATATCTATCTATCTATCACTTTTGGATATCTATCTATCTATCTATCTATCACTTTTGGATATCTGACTGACTGACAGTAAATAATGTAATGACATTCAAGATGAACTTGTTCTTTCTCTTGCATTAACAGAATGTGCTAATATTTTTGTTTCAATTAAAAGTCAGAATCTCCTCAATAAAGAACTTAACTTTTTAATCTACTGCAAAGAATAAAATATAAAAATGATTATACTACATTCCATCCATTAAGTTGTTAAATATGAAATAAATAATGTAAATTTAAAAAATTAATGAACTCCATAATTACATTTTAAAACTGAGAAAATTTCTCAGGAAAATTAGCTCTAGTAAATTTGTTTTTTTATTAGTAATTTATTTTTGTAAATTTTTATTACTCATTTTCAATTGATGGTTTATTAAAAAGAAAAATAAATAAATAAAACTCTTGCAGTTTCTGCTACCAATAACTTATCTGCCACTGAAGACCTGCTAATGACTAAATTCAATACTAACTTCTATATTTTAATTCCTGGTTATCTTTGATTAGTTTTTTTTTTTTTTCATTATGTTTTTCAATTCAAAGCAACACTTTCTTCTTTCTTTCTTTCTTTCTTTTTTTTTTTTTTTTTTTTTTTTTTTGAGATTTATTAGCATTTTATTTTTGTCTCTTTAAGTAGATAGTTTCAAAGGAAACCTTCTTGTCCTAAAACAATTTTTGTATTGTTTTGGTTGTTTCCCTTGTTTTCCTCTTCCTTCTCCTCCTCCACCAAAAACTGTCCATTCTTTACCTATCTCTGTTTATTACTACTTCTTGTGTTTGTCTCTTTGCTAAGTTTTGAAGGCTTTTTGTCTGATTTAATTGATTCAGTTTCAAATCTCAGGTTTTACTCTTTAGTCCGGGTTTTGTGGGAATTTTTTATTATCCCCTTAGTATTTTTTATTATCCCCTTAGTATTTTTTATTATCCCCTTAGTATTTTTCCTTCCTTTCCCATCTTTACAAACTCAACGTAACAACTGCTTTGTTTGTGAAGCTTTAAAGTGGGCCAAAGGATAAGTTTATTGAAGTTTTCTTAATTTATTAACTTATATAAGGAAAAGAAAAATAACAAAAAATTCAGTTACTTGTCTTCCAACTTGGGAGATAAGTTATAGTGGGTCAGCCAATTTGTATTGGTTATAAATAGAAATAAAAACTGACCCTCTACAATTTTTACAATATCAAATGTAACAAAGACAACAACAAGAGAAATAATCAAGTAGAAGAAAATGTGAATTTGTTCAACAATAAATATTTTTCATAAACACAACAAATACATAATATATAGTGCAAAGGACGAAGTGTGTGTGAATGTTTTGTATGTGCGTGCGTGTGTGAATATTCTGTATGTGCGTGCGTGTGTGAATATTCTGTATGTGCGTGCGTGTGTGAATATTGTGCTTAGCGTGTTTCCATGCTATCCCTTGTTAGCGCCTACATTTCGAGGTTGATAGCTGAAATCCTGAAGGAAAAAGAGATAGAGGCGAAGAGTCAGCGGCTATTTATAGCCAGGGAAGAGAGACCCCTGGTGAAAGGGTTAACGGAGTGAAGGAGGAGTTAACTCCGACAAAGTCATTGAATTTTTTATTTATTTATTAATGGTTTGTTTTTTAATACTGAGGACTTCTTTTACAGAAATCTACTTGCCTTCAAGATATTATCCTCCAGTGATGTCCTGACTGACAGATTTTGTAAGGTGTAAACTATCTTAGTTTTATATATATATATATATATATATATATATATATATATATATATATATATATATATAATAAAATATGTAAAATATATAGAAAATAGGAAAGAACTTGTTTGGTAAATAATCCAAAGTTCTTTAGTATTTTTGTTATTTTAAAAAATAGTGCTTGATGCAAAAGTTGATCATAAATATAATTATTTATTTAAAAATATGATTCCAATGCTACATAAGAGTTCTCATGTTTCAAAACAAGAGCCGAAAACTTCAATATAATTATTTGAATTAAATTACCAAGCTCTGTTCCATCTTCAAGCGAAATTTTTTTTGGAATAACTAATTCCTGAAATTTACGCTTTTTATAAGCATATTCATTATTAAAATTAAAAAATTTTGCTTGTTTTGAAACATGAGAACTCTTATGTATCACTGGAATCATATCTTTAAATAAATAATGATATATACTCGTGTATCATATGACTTTTGAAGACCTAATTTTAAGAGGGTTGCTTCATACACGAGATATAAAATTAGCATATGTACTGATGGCCCTGACTACGTCATTGACCAAACCGTATATTTATTTACTGTAGTATATAAGGTGTTTGTGTGTGTATATATATATATATATATATGTGTGTGTGTGTGTGTGTTTGTGTGTGTATATATATATATATATATATATATATATGTGCTCTTTCTATGTAATATTTCTTCACAAATTTACAATATATTTACATTGTGTCTAAATGCAAAAATAGACATGTATTAGGTAAACACATAGTTATAATATCTATATTTCAATATATACATATATTGTAAATTTGTTGTGCCTGGGAGGTGATCCTAGCATACATGAGTGAAATTGGGTAGACAGAACATGCATTATTGGTTGTGCTAGTACAAAGTCACAGATCATCATGACCGAGGGTATGAGTGTTCCGGGCTGATCATGATAGATTATGCACTCCATCACAGAAACTGTCACTAAGGTCCACTCAGCATAGTTGCATTATAAATCACAGGTTGGCTCTGTTGTTATCGAGTAAACACAAATGTCTACAACAGGTATATAATCACCCAATGTTGGCTATTATTATATTTGTATATTCAACTCATAGAAATATACATACACACACACTATTAAATTAGACTACACACATGCATGCAAATACACACATATAAACTCACACACAAAAGAGTTTCTTCAACCGACCTGTTACCAAAAATTGGTTTTGAGATCTTTCTTCATTACAATACTTGAGTTTGGGAAGAATTTTTCAGCACTCTCTTGTGTATAGACACATATATGTGTGAGAAGACAATATATAAATTTATTATATATCAAGAATAATTTTAGGGAAAAATCTATGACAAAGTCGGAAAATTTTATGTGTGACACGTTTCAACCTTTAGGACTTCATCAGAAAAAAAGTGATGTTTACATTGATGTGGCCACCCATGTGCACTAAGGATAGGGAGTGCTCAGAATTTTAAATTTAAAATGTATAGAAAGTGCTTTAATTGCTATATTATCCACAGTAAATTTACGTTCAGGTTCTTACATCATTTCACCTTCCTTGACAGATCTTCTATTGTCACAATGTTGGATTTTTAATAAGATGTGAATTAAATTGGTAAGAACAGGATTGCCCAATCTTTTTTCCTGATTGTCCAAATTAGAAATTTAGGTATATTCACTGGGCCACAAAAGTATTTTTTTAAACATTCAAAACATTGTGAATATCAAATTTTAATAACAAATATATATATCATTACAAAAATACTGTATTATTGACAATAAAAAAAAAGAAACACATACACAAAATAAAATAAATTCAATGTGATTTTTGACATTGCTTTCATTTTATAATATTTTCAATATCTGCTTTTATGGTACTTGTGTTTATTCTAAAAATGTTAATTAAATGAGAATCACTCAGCAGTTTTGATATTTTTCATGCATGAAAAGAATTG